ACAAATCTCAAAAGTAGGTTATGTACTTCTCTATTTTCCTGCTGATCAACTCATGCATCTGACATTAATGTGTTTTTATGCAGCGGACGAACTTTTTAATGATTACAAATAGGAAAAACTGTTTCATCGTTCATTGTGTCAACTGTACAACTTTGATTTTCAATTCATTCGTTCCAAAACTGAACAGTTTGGTCTTCCGATTAAAATTTTCCATCCATTTCAACCTAAATTCTGACGTATGTGCAGAAAAATGAGTTGTGACTGTCTATCAAGATGATTTTGATAACTTACAACTTATCATAGTACCTCGTTTTCGCTTGTCTTTCAAAATTTGTTCCACATCATGATATGGACGAGTGCTTCAACGGACTATTTTTTTCCATGCAGGAATTGAAACTTTATGTCTCAGTCTACGTTAGTTTACGAGAACTATGAAACACTTCAAGGGTTATCACTGCTCGTTTGTTAACAATGTCAAAAGCATATATTTAACTTTTTTTTTATAATGTTGTATTCAAATCGAACATCAGCTCATCCTTAATTCGATCAACACTAAATTTGTTGCAAGTGACTACATTGGAAAAGTTGTTTCATGATGAATTCGAGTATTTAAAATTATCTTTAATTGTTTGAATCAATAGATTAACCTCGGGTATGGTCGAATCAAAATACTATTAAATCAATGACGAATTTTCTATATCGCTTTCTAGTATTTCCAAAAATGCCCTATCTTTAACGCTTAATATCAATCAAGAAAGGGAGGACATATTAATTAGTGTACCGAGCTCGGTCGAATATTTTATCGATTAGAGCATTAATAGCTGTTCTTTCTCTACTCTAAACAGACAGATATCATGTGTTGACTAGTGAACATGCTGAAGCATCTTCAATGTGTTGAAATAATGTTTACTACTGGTTGGTTTGATTCTTGGTATAGAACTGACTTAGTCGAACGGCTAATTGAAGAGCTATATGTGAGAGTAAGCCTATTTGCCGAAAATCTAATACTACACCTGTGGATGGGCAATACAGAAGAAAGCATAGGACTAAAACAATAGGAAAATAGTGAGATTAAGAAACTTTCAAGAAATTAATCTCTTGGCATAAATACTTTACACTTTTACTACTATCCGATATTATCAATGGTTATTATTACATATACTCTGACTTGATTATAACTGTTTCTTTAATTTTTAAGCTCTTTTCTTATATATTTATGCTTGATTTTTTAAAAATATATATTAAATTGAACGAAATAGCAAATTTCAATTGGTTTAGCCATTATTTAACTTATTGTTAAACAGTCGGATGGATTACAAACACTGAATTAATAAAACTGACATTTATAATTATTATCTTCAATTGTTTTTTATTCAGGTATCCATTGTAATAGAATATTAAGAAGTATTATTAGATAGAAAGCATCATTTAATTTATGATATATCTTTTTTATCATTTTTTTTTCTATGAATAATCGAACGAAGGCTTATAAATATCATAAACAAAAAAACAGAAAAAGCGCTTGAATTTTTTTTTCTTTTTCAATTATTTTTCTTAATATTCATATGAATAATTTATGGATTTTTAATCAGCCAATTTTATTTCCATTTAATCACTGTTATGAATATAACATACTTGATAAGAATTCTAAGATAAATAATACAACAATCGATTGTTCTGAATATTCATCATGTATACCGTTTGGTAATACATCATATACATTAGGTTTTGGTCATTTATTTTCAGGTAATTTACAATATTATCAATTATTTAATCCATATCATCAATATTATGAATCATGTTCATTTGAACTACCTCAATGCTATTCTAATACATTGCAAATAGATAAAATTCAATCACAACAGGATCCTATTGTTAATTATAAAATTAATGAAGCAATGGAAATTATTCGTAGGAAGATAAAAGATGTTGAAAAACAATATGATTATTCCATATCATCAATACCTTATCGATCTGATCAAATAATGAATAATTGTAATCAGAACAATATTACTCAAGCAGCTACACTACTTGAACGAGCAGCTAATGCAATATCTATTGCTGCTAATAAATAAAACGAATTTCAATTATAAAAGTCTTAGATCAAATAAATATTCATTTTCTTCTTTCTAGCATTGTACGAAATAAAGATTTCTACAACAATCAAATTATATAAAAAGTCAAAGACTAAATAGCTCTACAAAAAATTCGTGTAACTTCATTATCGAGTAATATCATTTTCTAATTTCTGTGAATTAGTTTTTTTTGTCTTCATATTAGAAGAGAATGAAATAAATATATTCAATAATGGTGTTTGTAGCATAAGAAGTCTCACTTCTCAAGAACCTATTGAAAGTTAAATTTATTTTTAGTTTTTATACGAAAATGTTATTACTGTTTTTGAAAGAGATTGAATAATTTCTTGTTGCCTTACTATTTTTGCTGTTTTGCAAGAATAAAAAGAAACAGTTTTTGCAATTTTTTTTTCTATAACTTGATATAAATAGTGGACTGAAAGTTTCGTAGACAAAATCTTTGGCTATTTTTTGTGTATTTAAATGCATTGATAATGTATTAGAGTCAGAATTTAGTGCTCTTTCAAAATATATGCTTAGAATTTATCTGTGAGTTTTTACTATTCAGCTATAAGTGAACCTTGAAAAGACTGAAAAATATTATTTTTGTAGGAAAAAATCTTAAATGGAACTTGTTCGATAGATGCCACAAAATTTTATCGAATATATTCGAAAATACAAAAAAATAGTTCTCTACAAAGTGGTAAATTTTTTGCAAAGTGTTGAGATTTAGTAAAGGCCTTTATAACATCTATCGTAAGAAAATGATTTTTGTTCTGGTTTTCACCTTTTCAACCCAAAATATTCATCCGTCACAACTCTGACATTTTTTTAGTGGACTAATCAAAACTCTCTATTCTTGCATCATTTTGTAGGGTAGAGATCATCCTTAAGTACTATATATTTATAGAACTTATTTGATGTCTACAGGAAGCAGACTTGTCTTCAGAAATATAAGATTTTTGCTTCTTAAGAAAATTTTTTTGAGTCTTATGAAGATTTATTTAGAGTTCAATAATCAAAAATCACAAAAAAATTCTAACCATATATTCTGAAAGGGTACAAAAGTCTAATTCTACCATACTATCAATGCATTTAAATATACAAACAAATAGTCAAATATTTTGTGTAAAAACTTTCGATGCACCCTTAGTTTGAATATATGTGCAAAAAGAATTGAATTCTTGTTGTAGTTTCTAGAGATCGAGATTCATGCAATACACTCTATTTTACGAATTTTTGTTTTTTTTCACCTTTTTTAATTAAAGAGCCATGAGTCCATATACAATCACGAGAATAAAGTGTCCGAATATCTACAAAGTTTTTTTTTTATTACTATAGTCTGTTTAAAAAGTCCGTGCGTGTGACTGTTTTTTGAATAGTTCGAGAACGCAAACAACTAGAGATCTGTGGTTTTCACCAATAGAAAGAGAAGGAGTTAGGGCATCTTTCTCTCTGATAATGTCTCAGATGAAATTCTTTTAAAACTGATCATCTTTGAAAAATATAGAAAAGAATGCATGAAAGTGACATACAATGCACATGTAGTTTCGATTATGACCTTTGATTTAGATAGAGGAACTTCAGATCTATAGTCCAAGATGCAATCCAAATGACACTCTAATTGCATTCTAACGTTGACCAAATGAAATCATGTATTTACATGCACAAATAATAAGGCATTTTGCTGATGTTTTACTACGTTTTTGCATTTTTTGTCATAACAGCTGGATACTTCGATGAAAATATACTGAAACGTAAGAAAGTGTATTATGTTTTAAACTATAGATCTGAAGTCCCTCTATCTAAATCAAAGGTCATAATCGAAACATTATGTGTATTGTATGTCACTTTCATGCATTCTTTGCTATATTTTTCAAAGATGATCAGTTTTAAAAGAATTTCATCTGAGACATTATCAGAGAGAAAGATGCCCTAACTCCTTCTCTTTCGATTGGTGAAAACCGCAGGTCTCTAGCTGTTTGCGTTCTCGAATTATTCAAAAAACAGTCACACGCACGGACTTTTTAAACAGACTATAGTAGATCCTTACTCTATGCTAGGTGTCCTATCGATATATTCGAATGAAAGCATTATCTCGAATAATGAAAATTTTTCTTATGAAAATATCTAATTTTTCAATACGTCTAGAGTAAAATTCTTCTATTTTTCAAGTACAGATGTTCATTTTTCTGACATCAAAATGATGCCATATGCAGAAATCTAGAACGACAGCAGTAATAGCTTATTAAGCTGTCTGATTTTATGCAGACTTTGATGAGCTTTCTAATGTTATATTTCCAGATTAATTTTGGAAAAAAAAATTGATGATCATTTTCCATTCCTATCACAACATTCAGCTTATTCAAGAGAGAATGGCTGGCTTTTTTTTTCCTGAATAATTCACATCATGCATGTCATCATTTTTTCATCGGAAAACATACTCAATAAATAGAGCTTGCTTTGCTTGTTCTAGGATAATGCATATAGAATAATTTTGATGTCAGAACAGCGAACATCTATTCTTGAAAAACAGATGAACTTTGATCGGGACGTATTGAAAAGTCAGATATTATCATGAGAACAAATCTGATAATTCGAGATGATAGTCTAATTTGATTATATTGACAGAGAATCTAGTATAGAGTAAGGATTATCTACTGATAAAAAAAGAAAAAATTTTATCCCTTATTTCTGCTCTGCAAATGAAAAAATACGAAAAAACTTGTATGTGCCCGAATACTTTTTGGAGCAATCGTAAAATATTCTATTAGCAAAGGTAGTATTGATAGACGTTTGGATTTATTCAGCTGAAAATAATTAAGAAATACAGATTTATGAAGTTGCAAAAAAAAACTTTTGTTTTTTATTCGATAAAAAACAAAATTATTCTTTTCTTTCATGAATACTTTAACATCATAGTACATCTAGTTTGAATCGGCTAGATTAATCTTTATCGAAAAAAAGAAAAATTAGAATCTATTTTTAAACATAGTCTGACGTCAATTGAATTAATTAAAAACCTATTGCCGGATGTTTTAAATCTATATGAAACGAACATGGTTTTTATTAGATTTAATAAAGATTTTCTTCTCATAAACAATTAAAAATTTAAATGCTATTACAATCAATGATTTTTCTTTTCAAAAGAAGAAAAAGAAGAAGAAAAAAGATTAAAACATTTTCAACTGTCCCATGCTGAACGTGTTGTAAATAATTGAGGAGATTGATTTGGATTATCATTTACAATTGGCATTGGTATTGTTGTCCATGATGTTAGTGGTGTATTATCATTATCTATAATTCTTTTTTCAGATGTTTCCGATGATAGATCTCGTGATAATCGTTGATAATCATTTCCACTAACACTAACACCACCATCATTATTTATATTATTAACAAGAAAATTTTTTGGAAATGTTTTTCGATCTAATTGTTTTAAATAATCTTGAAAACGTTTTTCCATTGTTGTAAATTGTTGATGTTCCTTCGGTAACATAGGAAATAAACGATGTACTGTATGCATTGCTTCAGTTAATGTTAATTGTTCATCACATAACATTAAATATTGAATAGCAATAATAGCAAGTGGTGAATTAGGCATTAATTCAAAACCATAAATAAGTATTCGTTTTTCTTCTTGTTGTGCTTTTAATATAAAACGATTAACAGCTGAAAATAGTTGTCCTAATTGTGTACGACTTAATTCTCGAATTTTACTGTTACTTAAATTATTTGAATCAGTTGATGTTGAATTTGTTAAATATGGTTGATCAAATTCAAGTGTTAACGTACAACGTGAATGTGCATGACCACATTGACATGGAAGACGAGCTCCGACATTTGCTTTACGTGCTAATTCATCAGGTCTCATATTAGTTGCATCAATAAGATAATCAATAGATAATTTACATAATTGTCTTTCATTTTGTAAAGCACGTATTGAACCTAATAAAACATCATTTGTAAGAAAAACAATTGGAATTGTTGGTGATGCTGAATTGCTCATAGGTAATGTTTGTTTTGCTAAAGATTGTGAACGTCTTTGAATATCACGTCGTAATTGTGGACGAAAATCTGTTCCTAAAAAAAATTAATATGTCAAAGAAAAAAGAAAACTTTTTTCTTTTGTTTTGAATTTACCAAGACATTCAGAAGTTGTTGTAAATACAGGTGGTGCTTGTTGAGGAATAAATGTTGGTAATACAGGTGATTGTGATGATGATTTTGAACGTAGCAGTGTTGGAGATATTGATGGACATGATGGATTTCGTCGTTGAACAGATGATACTAATATTTGAGCTGAATCAAGATCCCATTCATTATCGGATGCTGATGATTTAGCAGGTAATGAAACAGCTGTTGTTGGTCGACTTAATGGTACACGCACTGAATTAATATCTGTACTTAGACGATTTGGACGTTTTTGATCAAAAGAATTTTTATGACGATTTGTTCCTAATGCTGATGTATGTCGACGACTTGTTGCTGATAATGTTTGATAGTTAAGACGATCATTTAAGGTTTGTTTTCTTCGTTGTTGTTTTAATTCATTATTATCATCATCATCAGATGAAGATGTTGTTGACACATCTTGAACATTTAGGTCACTTGTTGATGCGCTTTCAATGCGCACTGTTACTGTTGATGGATCAGCCACTGTTGATGATACCGAGCTAAATAAATATTAAATAGTCGTTTTCTTTTTTTTTTGTCTGCCTGATAGATTAAAATATACTTTGACGTCTTTTTTCTCGGTTCTTTTTTTAAACTCACCTTGAAGAGCGATGAATCATGCTGTGCATAATTTTTAATTTGAGATCGTTTTTCTTATAAACGTAACAGAAGTAAAAAAAAAAAAAAAGTAAAAAGAGATCGACGTATTCGTCTTAAGCAGTTAAAATGATTAACAATACTATATTGATGACGTGAACATGAATACTCAAGAATGACGTTTGTAGTTAATGCGTTAGATTTTCTGGAAGGATAGAAAAAGAAAAAGAAAAAGTATTCTAGTAGAAAATGAAATCAGAATTATCGTATAACGACGAGTTTTTTTTTTACACAAAAAAAGAAGGAAAAAAGAAACAAGGAGGGAACTTCCTTCTTTCTCTATCTCTGACGCTTCTCTCTCTATATGTAGTGTATTTACGTGCGATACGATTCATCATATTACCTTGAACTGTTGCTTTTTATTGACGTAGTTCATCGTGTCTCTCTCGCTTTTTTTTCCTTTTCTTTTCCATTTCCTGATGTGCATGTTAGTTTGTCAGTTAGAATTCCACGTCACTCGAGGATAACAACACCATGTAAAAATATACTCGTCCCATAATAATATAAATCCACAAAACTTTGATGAATGTAGTGTGACATAAGATTATTATCTCTTTTTTTTTGTAAAAAACAAGATAAAAAATATGTTAAAATCAATACATCTAATAGATAAATAAATATTCTTTTCCTTATATATTTAGTTAATATTTGTTTTTTCTATATAATATAAATGTATTATTATTGTTCAAATAGAACGGGGTTTATTAGATAGCAATTAGAACAAAATATATAAAAATAGAAATAAATCATTAACATTCCTTGCATTCTTTTTTTCTTCTATGCTGCAATTATTTATAAGTAGTTATTGATGTGGACTTAAGATCTCGGTTAGTTTAATACATATAAATATGAATAGATAGTCCCTCGAAAATTTTCTAATTATATTAGATAATTTTTCTTTTTATGTTATTAAACATACGTTGATTTTTTACCTATAGTTAAAAGACTGTTAAATGAATAAGAAATAATACTTAAAATATGTCACCCTTCGTTATAATACTGTTGTTATTATTTTTAGTAAGAAAAAAAAGAGAACAAAACAAAAAAATTTATATTAGTTTACCAAAAAAAAAAGGTAAAGCAATTATAATTTCAATTGGTTCGAAATAGAATAAATCAACTTTTGAACTCAATTTATTCATTTTATTAGAAGTTTTTTCTTTCATCAAGTAATATTGATGTGATAATTATTTTAATCAATTTAGATTTTAAAAGAATACAAATATTAAGCTTATTATTGTAATTAAGTTCGCTATTATCAATAATGTTCGTTAACTCATTTAAATATATAGTCGATAATATAAAATTATATTTTTATCTCTGTTTCGAAAATTTGAAAGGTTCTTTTTTCAATCTAAATTGTTACATTCTATTTAAATCCTAAATGATGAATTATACGAATTGAAAGTCATCTGTTTCTTCTTTAACATTTATTATCATGTTTCTTGATAAGTCAATGAATGTTATAGTGTCAAGATTATGACTTTTTCTTTTTTAATTTAAAGTTTATTTGAAAGAAATGATTGAATAGAAACTAAAATTCTCATAAATTTTATTCTATATGATTTGATTACATTTATACGACTAAGATATTTCTGTATAATCCTCTCGCATAAAACTTAGTTCAAAAGCTTATATTTCTATTAAACGTGCATAATCTTTTTTTTTTCTTTCTAGAAATATATTTATTCCATAAACGTACTGCTATAAAAAGAAAAGAATGTTCCAGTAAATTCATTTTATAACAAACGCAAGAATAAAAATCAATCTTTTCCTTGAAGTATACCATGACGATAATTATTTCTACTTGAATTCATTGATAACCTACATGTTGTACCAGAATAACGGAAAAAAGTTAAAACTAAATGAAGAAATACAATAAATAATAATAATGCTGTTAATACATAAAATAATATAAGAAGTAAAAAATTTGTTTGATGATCATCTTCATACCAATAACTAAATATTAATAAAACAAGAAATATCCATCCAGCTATGACATGATACAATGTATTTGAAAATAAACATAACATTAATATAATATATATTATTGCTATAATACATATTGAACCAATAAGATATAAACCAATTAAATTTAATGTTGATTCATTTATTTGATTTAATGTTTTTGATGGTAATAATAATGTATTATAAGCATATAAAGATGAAAAAACAATTAATACTACTTGCCATGCTAACATTACACTAAGACCATTATGAACAAATATTCTTATTGACCATATATCACCAAATCTTAGAAAAAAAACATATTTCTAAAAATCTTAAAGAGAGAAAAAAAAATTCTATTTTTCTTACAAATGACATGTTGATAATTCACGTTCATAATTATGAAGATGAATTATTGATGTTATAAGACAAAATATTAATGCCATTGTGCCTAATATAATATAAATAGTTGCAAGCTAAATAAAATAATAAAAAAACAACAACAACAAATGATTATATGATAATTCTTACAAAATTTGATTGATGTTGAATAAGATATAAAAATATAATATGAGACCAACAACCAAGACTAAATGTTAATAATTGTATTTGAGATACTGGACAAGGATATTTATATAAATAATCACTATCACTACAAGTACCATTTCGGCGACATAATGTTGTTATAGCATAGAATAACCAAGGAATCTAGATTAAATTTCAATTGAAAATTTAAAAAATCCTATGAATAAAATTATTCTTACTTGTAAACTATAGACAATCATCCAAAGTGGTGCAATCCATTTTTTAGATAGAATTAATGGAGTTGTATGTGCATGAAAATGATAAAGTATACGACCAAAAACTATTTAAATAAATAGAAATATTTATTTTTGAAATAATATCGAATATGAAAAAACTTTAATTAATGTTTATGAATCTTTTAAAAAATAGAATCAAATCAACTTACTTTGACTATGAAAGAAAAGATCATCAATAATTAATGTTAATGCAAGAATATATGAAATAAGAGCAATAAAAAGACCTATTGTCTTGCTACATGAATGTTGTTGTTTATTTCTATCAGATAATCTTAAGTATATTTTATATTTTGATACAGATGAAAAAGTTTCAAACAAAAAAATACACACTTATCAATTGCACTATGCATAGGTGAACTATCTTCGAAAGGCATTGGACGAGAAAATAAACTTAACGGTATGAATTCAATAGTATAAATATAGAAGAAAATAAACAAATGTCGATGTTATTCTTCTTTTCTTTCGAACTATAAAATAGACAATGGATATATATTCTTTCTTTCTTTCTTTTTCTAAGTACTTAGGTATGTTACTAAAATAGTTATTTATTGTTAGGAAAAAAAAAATACTAACTCAAAAATTAAGTACTACATAATGAATATTTTTATAGAAAAGAAAATTTTAAAATTTAATTGTTTTTTTTTTTTGTTTTTTGTTGATGAAATAATATTAATATTCTATAGTTATTTAAATATAATAGATAAATAATAAAATGGTAAAATGAGAGATTACATTTTCCGAAAGTAATTTAAATTTGATAAAATTAGAAAGAAATCCAATGGCAAAGTCAATGATATCTAAATAAAGTAATAATACAAGAATAAATAGACTAAATTGAATATTTTGATAAACATGCACTGAAAAACCTTCTTATAGCGAATATTCATCAGGCTTTTCAAAAGTATTCACAATAGAGAGTTTAAGTATTTCTAAAATAAGCACATTATTAATTCTCTCATCTGATGTTTTTTTTATCATTGAAAACAATATTAAAAATTTACAGTTGTTAAAATAATTTTTTAATATGAATCTGATTTGAAAAATGTCAGCAAATTGTGACTGAAGGTCAAAGACAATAATGTGCAATTTAGGTTGTAGAATGAACACAATAAACTTATTATCGAAATGATACAAAAAGCTTTCAGTATAATCCCTACGGGATTAAAATATAAAACACGACAGAATCGCTTTCCTCGTACATTCTGACTTTCACTATGTTCATTACGATTCGTGAGTAAATGGAAGAAACAACATGTGGAAATCCCTGCCATGGACCTATGGAGCAATCCTGGAGGTAATTCATTTTTCTCGCTATATACTTCAACATTTATTTTCAATTGTATTTCATAAAAGTTAAGCCAATCAACATAGAAACGAGGAATGTCATATTAATGTTATTTGTATTACGTTTTGAAAAAAAGAGATAACTCTGAAGGTTCATCAATTATCAACGGTCATAATCTGAATATAATGTGGATTGAGGATGAGCCTCATCATCAAAATTGTTTCTTTTTGTCTTTTCGTAGTATTGATCAAGCAAATGTATTCATATTCTTAATCAAAGTATGACTTTTCTCTCCTACGCTTCTTTCATCTTTTTATGAGTCAGATAGAACATATGGTAGCATTATTCAATGAATAATTGATTGAAATGATCTCTTTTCTTTTGTTGAAAATATAGCACAAATAAGACCAATTTTATATTAATTCCGTACATTTTCGGTCTTATTTAGGAAGCTACGCACAAAAATATACAAGCTTTTCATCACTTTCCATGGTTGAGGACAAAATTGCCCGGCTTTTCTCTTCAGAAAGGTATTGCCATTTTTTTCCATCAATCTTAACTAATATTCTTAGCTGTTGATTAGCATCTTATTAGTTAAAAAAAACAGGAATGGAGAAGTCAATACCCATGAGTTTAGCAGAATAATAACACGCACTTTGCATCAATTCCATTTCGCTCAAATTCACACTATGAGAGTTCTTACTGTATGGAATGCAAAAATAAAAGAATAAAATTAGTATGTTCATCACGACTGACACAAGGAAAAACGTGATTTCCTACAAAATCGATAAAACTAATATCAAGACAAATGCATCGTATATCATTATTTTTTTTCCTTGTAGACCAATCCTTGTTTTACAAAATTTCGAAGATTACCGGTATAAAACTATCAGTTTTGTTTTTTCATCAAATACGATCAATTAGGAATTAATTATTTCAATCGATATATTCTAAACGATATAAATTTTTATCTATTGTTTCCAAATCAAGATTGTAGGAATAAAATCATATCAAATAAATAAATAAATAAAAATCTTTTTTCCTATATTCTAAAGGTAGTGCGCGAAAACATCCTTCAAAATTAATATATATTATTTTTTGCTGGAGCATAGGACAAAAGAAACGAGAAAGAAAAGAAGAATACATTGTTGTATAAAGACAAAGCAAAAAGAAAAAAAAAAGAATTTAGTCATTCAAATGAAATTGTAAGTGCCGATAATACATTATTACATAAGTTCATTTGACAAACGCGCACAATGAAAAAAAAAATACTACTGCACAAGACAAAAAAAAAAGAAAAGACAAGAAAAGAAAAGAAAGAAAGGAGATCAAGAAAAGAAAGTGTGAAAACTACACACACTTTAAATTGCCAATATATATGCCTTAATTTCACATCACTGAATGTGCTATAAAAAGAGTGAGTTGAGAAAAAGAAAAATCTTTTTTTTTTTTTTATTTTTATATCTATATATATATATGTATATATGTGTGTGTGTGTATAAATGATTTAAAACGGAGTTTATGAAGGAAATTTGGGCGGTGAACCGACTATTGATGGTGAAGCTGTACCAGGTGATGATGCAAGTACAGAACTTCGTCTTGGACGATCAGCATCTTCCATTGACATTGCACGAGATAGACGACCTAAACCAACTAAACCAGCTTCCATTGGTAAACCAGATACTAAATAAGAATACATTAAAAAAAAAATCCCTTATCGAAATCTATTTAAATAAATACATACCTAAACCTATGCCTTGTAAAAAGAATTGCATCGATTTAGCCAAAACATCAGGCTAGATAAAAAGAAAAATTTAATTTTTTTGTTTTTCGTTTTCTTAATATTTTTCTTCTTACTGCTTCACCAAGAACATCGCCAACATTATCAGCGACAAGCATTGGTGAATTAACCATTTTTTGTGGATTATTACGTGCTTCACGAAGACGATCATAGAATTTTTCAGTTGTATGTAATACAGAACTTTTCTTTCCAACAGCTACTAGACAATCAACACTATAAATATAAATTTAAATATTTCGTTAAAATTTATGAATTAATTTTCTAAACAATGAATCCTTTGTTCTTTTTTCTCTCAATAAGAATATAATAGAAAATCCTTCTCGATAAATGATTTAACATTTATTGAATTCCATCCATAGGGATTTCGGATAGCAAGTCATTTTCTTCAAGAATGAAAAATAACATAGAAATTTGCTTATTTTAACGTTATTGAAATATGTTTTCTGGCATTTGAAAATACAAAATAAAGTTTTAATTATATGAGTTTCATATACTTAAAATATTTTGATAGGTTTTTTTTTGTTTACCAGAATATCCGTGAAGAGTATCATGACAATATGTAGAATCGGTTAAAGAACAAAATCTTTTCATTCAGTTATCTTTGTAATGGTGGGTAATAATATCATAATATGGATATAAAATCTATAAATTCAAGAAAAAGACTCTTGAGTACTATCATATTACATTCTTCTTTAGCCCAATCGACATATAAATATGTCTTTATCTGTAGATTCGGAATTCTAAAGTAAATTTATTTAATATTATTGAACAATAGATTACTACTTAGTCACTTATAATTAACAATGATTAAAGCATTTAACTATTATTTTATATCTCATTGGAAAGAAATTAAAAGTCTAATAGAATTAGTCAAAATTTCCCTTGAGAAATAGCACTAGTTTTTTATGTAAATGTTATTTAATAATGAATTACTTACGTTAATTTGTCTAATCTATCAACAAGATTTGTTCGACTAAAGATTAAAGTAGACAAATTGGTTTTTTTTTTCTTCGCTATTGAAAAATTTCATCGTATTTTTCTTACTTTAAAAAAGCATCCATAAAAAGTGCCAAATTTTTTGCTGTTCGTTTTTGATAAAGTTTTTCCGAAAATTCACGAATATTTGCTTCAAGTAATTGTGAATCACCATAACCCTATACAGAAGAAGAAGAAAAAAAAAACATTCTCTTTATTTCTATTTCTTTTTTCTTAAAAAAAAAACAACCATTAAATAACATGCATGCAACATATCTAAACAGTATTAGTAGTTGAAAATGAAAATATAGAAAAGAAAATCTCATGAAATATATATCTATATGATTCAAATATCTCAAAGATTCAGTTTTCTTTGCAAAAAAAACCATCCATTTTCAATATACATTGATTCAGACGTGCACTAGAAAAACAATAATAAAGCAACGAATAAGGTTATAATCAAATTCTCATGCTAAGAAAAACATTCGTTTTCTTAATTGAAAACTACACCTTGTTCTTGTTTGGATCATCGCTAGACTATAAAACCAAATAAAAATAATTATAATAAATTTCTAGAGGGATTTTCAACATAAAAACATCTAAATCGAGTTTTCTATGTCTACTTAAAAAGGAATTTCTTGATCGGTTTTTCTATATATACCGAATGTAATCATTAATTTAAGAAGCAAAGAAAAAAAAACAATCATAAACCAGTAACTACACACTTACTTTTACTGCATCCTAAAATAAAAAGAAAGCAAAAATACATACCCACATATATATATATTAAAATAAAACTACATACACGTCCAAATCGATGCCAAATAAGATAAGCTTCAGCATCTGGATTCATTCCTTTATGAATTAATTTCCAATTATTAAGTTTATCTTTCATCATCTCCATAAAACCAGCTGTTGTACCAGTTGGATGAATAAGTACAAGACCATGTACACGTGATGGATATTCCATAGCAAAACGACAAGCAATATTAGCTCCTGCACCTTCACCAAATAGAACTGTTTGTGGAATATTTAAATGATTAACAACATTTATTAATTCACTAGCTAAATCATCGAATGATGGATATTTTCTAAAAGAAAAATCATAAGAATATTTTACGAAAATAAAGAGAAAAAAAAACAATAAAGAAATTTTTACTCGATAGTCAAAGGACTGGCATCATCTTCTTGACCGGGTAAATCAATATGTACCCAAACAATTCGTTGTTTACTATAAGATAGAATATAAATAAAATTTCTAAATCAATTTAAAACATCTTACAGAGCACGCATTTCAGGCTGAGAAACAAATTCAGTAAAAACCGAATCTAAAAAATTTGAAATTATTTTATAACAGAAAAAAAAACAAACAAAAAATAACTAAGAATCTGATCTTACGACTGCAGCCAATATCATGTATAGTCATCACATAACATTTCGCATTGTTACCAGTATCATCCTAAATTAAATAATTATAAAATTTTTATGAATTTTAATAATGCACACTTACTTGAACCCATGCACTAAAATCAAGACCGAGTTTTTCCGATCGGATCACATATTTCTATATATAAAAGAAAAATAATTATTCTAAGTTCAAAATAAAACAAAGAAAAAAACTCATGTTAATTGATATGAGCAGTAAAACTTTGTGTCTAAAATTATTTAATTAGTTTGAGCCTAATTAAAATAAAGTATACTATAATAGAAAAAAAATCATATAAAGATTCTATTTCGAGCGTTAAAAATAAATATTGATATATGTCGTTGCAATTCATTTACATTGCAAGACCAAGGGAAGATGAAGATCGATTCTCTTTTTTTTGTTCTTATCTACTTTTTTTCTTTTTTTTTAATATTTCTGTGACCTTTATTATTTTTTTATATACAAGGTGAAAAGTAAATTTGACTAGTTTACGACAGAATAAATAAAACGACGAATCAATCATGTTTTTTTTTTAATAGATCAAATCTATTTTTAAACCATTGATCTTTTGCGAAAAAAATTTAAACTGATATAATAGCGCACGTGCAAATCGATTCATGCAAACTGATAGGTAGTTATGATTGATAACGTAAAAGTATCATATGTGCGTTCTTTTTTTGGTTCTATCTTTTCGACATTGCGAACATATCATGCGTATGATCGATTATGTACTAAAAAATCGTATGGTTGTCGTAAGAATGTGTACTTAGAGCTTTATATAAGTGCAAATTTGTCTTATTGATCTATTATTTAAGTGTAATTAAGCATATTCATTAAAAAAATAATGCTAGAATATCTAAATAACTCACTTGATTTTGTTGAACCGTTGAAAGTTTTTCAATTAATCCTGCTCGTTCCGAATCGTCCATATTGATTTTATAAGTATAAAAACTAAATCTGTATTTGCTGATATAAAAATAGATGGAATAATATTTGTATTCTAATCTGAATTGTGTATATCTATTTATTAACTGAGCAAAAAGCAGCTGACACTTATATATATATATAAATATATCTGTCTATATATATATAATATAACTATAGAATGAGATGCAAGTGAGCGAGGCTTTGTGATTGAAATTGGAGTCTTACTTCATAGAAAGAAAAGAAAAAAGGAAAAGAGCAGGTGAAAAATAAAACAAAGGCAAATGACGTAAAGAATAATGGAGAAGAAGCAAATCGCAAGAAAAAGAAAAAAGAGAACGAGAAGATAAGTTTTTTTATACATTGAGTATACCATTTGATATATTATAAATTCAAATAATTGCAAATGATAATGATATATATTCTTAAAATTTTTTCAAAATTTATCTGTGTAATTCTTGTTTTTTTTTGTATTAAAAATCGGTAAAAAAATGAACCGATATATATATATATATATATGTCGTATCGAAGTTCTAACTTCGTCAAGAATATTGGCGAAGTTATAACTTCGTCGTCTCATATTGACGAAGTTATAACTTCGTCGTATAAATGTGACGAAGTTACAACTTCGTCGTATAAATGTGACGCAGTTATAACTTCGACGATGATCGTTGTTGAAGTTAATTTTGATTCATCTATCAATAAATAATTCACTTCATTAAATATCGTACTGTTGAATATATAATCAAAAATAAATTTTTCTAAAATAAATATTCATTTATTTAAGAATATTCTTAAATAAATGAATATTTATTTTAGAAAAATTTATTTCTGATTATATATTCAACAGTACGATATTGTATGAAGTCAATAGTTTATTGATAGATGAATCAAAATTAACTTTGACAAATTTCTCTTTCGAAGTTGTAACTTCGACAAATTTCTCTGTCGAAGTTGTAACTTCGACAATGATCATCGTCAAAGTTATAACTTCGTCACATTTATACGACGAAGTTGTAATTTCGTCAATATGAGACGACGAAGTTATAATTTCGTCGACCAGTGTAACTTCGATACGACATATGTATAAAAAAAAACAAAGTACAATGAAGTACAACATTGATTACTGTAACTTATTGGAAATTCGTTTGGTTGGCTCAGTGCGCAATGTCGTTCTTGTTATTCTGTGTTCTTGCTTCGGAGAGATGAAGAAACAGAACGATAGAAGAGAATAAAAAAAAGAGAAAAGAAAAATCCTAACACATATCAGGAGCTTTAACATTCTTCTGCCGTAGTCTCTTTTTTTTTCTTTCTTTTTTTTCTTTTGACTATTGCTTATTTCCTAGTGCTATACAACGAGAATAGTGACGGTTGTGGTTGCCGACAAAGTCGTCATTCGCTTGCTCGCTCGAGCCCAAATGACATCCGGTGTCGGAGAAAAACGTCAAGGCAATGTGAAAAAAAGAAAGAAAAACGAAGAAATCTTACAATAGGCAACAATACAAGATAATACGCTCATACAATTATGAGAAACACATGTGCGCAAACGACTATATATATATAGAAGAGAATCGATGTCTAGAAACGATATTTTTTGTGAAATAATGCAATACTTCTATCTGATTATTTTTTGAGTTCATAATTTATGAAAACAATGACTATTTTATTATAATTAAAAAAGAAAGAATTTGCATACATATTAAAATGAATGTTGCTAATGTTCAAATCATTATAAAAAAAAGTAATAATAACTAAAGAAAAAGATATTAACTATTGCTAAGATATGAACAAAACAAAGATTGTCTCATGTCCATATACTTATTTCTAAATGTCAATCACTAATTGATTTTTTTTAATTCGATTTACTTGACGTTGCTATTCTCAAATGAAATCAAAAAGTATAATTTTAAACGATATGATCAAAATAATAAAATAGTAGAAGGCAACAGCAATCATCTTTTCGTAAAAATAATAAATTTAGGATCTATCATAAAACTCGATAGTACTCAAAAATAATCATGTCAAAAATATGTTGTTTTTTTTCTAGAAGATTAATATTAATCAAAATTAGATATTAATAACTTGGTGTATCATTCATCCAAAGGCATATTTACACATGAATGCTTTTTTTTATATTCATAACCCTATTTTCTGCTTTTATGAATTCAACAGAGCAATGAATGCTTTTGTGTATCTATATCTTAACTAAATTAATACTATTATTTCAAGTTATCTCCCTGATTATTCTAGAATAATTACCAACGTATTCAACAGACGAGACTTAATCAATAGATAAATTCTTTAAAAAAAATCTAAGCTAAATATTTAGTATTATTGTAGCCAATCGTTTCCTATCACTGCGATAAGAAATAAGTGCCATCTGTCGAGAAAATATATATTATAGTTCTAGCTTTAAACCATTGAAAAGTACTATCATCAGTATAGAGATTTATTTATATATAATGTATAAAACGTAAAAATCTTTTGTTGAATAGAAATAAAATTCATTGTAACATTAAATATTTATATTCTACAAAATTATTCTTTTTTCACCTATTTGCAATTAAATGCAGACTTCACGCAAGGGTGCCACAATTGAAAGGAAGGAGTGTATGAAAGAATATCTCACAGGGGTAGTGTAAAATTTCAAAAAAAAAAGAAAAAAAGAAAACTTTCTCATCTTGCTGGGTAATAATGAATTATTAGAGAGTGTATGGTAGAGTCCGTCGGATCCAAGAATTTCTGGACCCGGACCCGGTTGATTAAAATTCGTTGGACCCGGATTCGAACTTTAGTAGTAAAAGTTTAAAAATCTGGGCCCGAACCCGATGAATGCGAAATTTTCAGACCCAGACCCGACGGACTCTAGTGTACGGGCATCCATTTCCATGGGATTTCATTGAATATTATAGTGAAAAAAATCTTAACAATATAAAAAAAATTACATTTTTTCATATTGAAAAACACATATTACTAAATATTATAATAGAAATCTTTCATTTTACAAGGATAAAATTAATATTCAAGGTTGTTCAAATGAAAAAAATCTTCCTCAGGCACAACTAAATCGACGAACTTTTGACTCAAAGCAAGATGTGTAATCATCAGTGTAATCCTATTAATATTGCTAATGAGAAAACATGTTTTTCCATCGATCGTTGTTTGTTTCCGATAGCAATTATTTGAGGTCGAAAAGATAAATCGTTTCTAAGAACAAATAAACACATAAATTGACTAAATCTCAATATGTTATTTCCAATCTCCGTGTAATCATGTCAATGATTACCAAAAAAAGAAGATTTTGTTTTTTTGTTTTACTCGCTCATATCAAAATTTTTAAGAAAAAAAAAGAAACTCCATACCTTTTCGTCTGTAGGAACACTCATTTGGAACCGAAGCATTTTGTCTCGTGTTGGTGTATTCATTGTTTTTTTTTTGCTTTTATTGTTTTGAATATGTTTTATTTGTATATGGGAATGAGAACAAATAATTTCATCGAGTTTGCCACTTCCTATATCACGAACAACGCCGTTGTCCTTTCATCATGATTAATATCATCTGAAAAAAAAAATATATGGAAAAACTTCCATCGGTCATTTCTTATTACGAGACATGTATTCGAGATAGATAATAAGAGCACAAGCAACATGCCATGCAGAGTAACATAACATATCGATTCCATTTCATAAGCCTCTATATTACATCTCTGTCACTCTACTTGGCTTCTCTGATTGACGGGCAGATGGCAATGTGTGGAATTGGCACTATTACCATCATAAAAGATAGACGACAGAGAAATGAGAAAGCAAAAAAAAAAAAAAGAAACTTCAACTCTGTACTCACTCCTTCACTCTATAACTAGTATTCGCTGCCGTCGACACTGACAAGAAAAGGCGCCATCCTCTTATTGCTACTATATTCATAGCAATTAGTAACACGCGTGTGTAATAGTAAAGTAATAGAAGAAAAAAAGAAACTAGAGAAAAAAAAAAAGATTCACCATACAAAAACCGGAACTCAATATTCGGTTGGCTAACGTTTGAGACGTGTTATCAGCATAAAGAGCATATGCCTATATGTTTATACACATATGTCACAATATGGAAAATTTTAAAAATAAATATACGATAGCATACTTTACAGTAAATGTAGTACGTATATTCGTCGATTAAATAAATGACTAATATGCTCAATAAAATCTTAAATATATAAGGACATAGAACTGATCAATTAAATATGTATAATTTATAATATTTATTCTAGTTTTAATTTAAAGTATACATTCAAAAGTTAATATTTCGTTAATTAACTTATACTTTATTAAATAATTAATAAAATTACTAAACTCACATACTTACTAAATAGAAATCTTATATATTCAGGGAGTCAGAAAAGATTAGAAACCAGTCAAGCTTTTCTAATATAGAAAAAAAAAGAAGGTAGAAAATAAAAGAAGCATAGAGAATCTTCTTTTTTTTTCTTCCAATTAGATCACATAGCCGAATCAGAATGGTAGTAATATAATTGTTTGCCTGTATAGTCGTGTTTAGATGTATTTCTATGTCCCTAGAATAAGCGTAAGGAAACCAACTGATATTTCTACGTGCATAGTCTAAGGTTCGATTATTACGATGCAATAGTAGTGCCAAATGGGCGCTGACAACAAAATGCAAGCGAAGAAAAACATTACATTTTAGCTACTATCAAGTCTCTAATGCGAGTTAGAGAGAAAAAGAGAGAGAGAGAGAGAGGGAGAGAGGGAGAGAGAAAGAAAGAGAAGAGGAAAAAGAAATCGAAAGACACATTGAAGGACATCCGACAACAACAGTAAAGCATCTATCATTGTTATCAATTCATTTTAGTCGTTTAGTTCACTACTATACAATGATATTTTCTTGTCTTCTTTATTCCTGTCTTAGGATAAATTGATGAAATATATGATTTAGCAATCTAATTCAGTGAACTGATCGTAGTCAACAAAAAAATATAAGATTGTTCTCGTCATTATTGTCGGAAGAAGAGGAGTGTGGAAACCAAAAAACAAAAAAAGAAGAAGATAAGGGTGAATAACTATTATAATAATAGTAACAACAATGATAAAATTATTAGAAGTATATAGCCTAGAGATATAATAATGTAGTGTTTGCAGACTATTATGGTCTATAGTATCTCTTTAGAAGTATCGATTAAAGATGATAACATTAGTTGCAAAAATTGAAACTATATTTTTTAATTTGCCATATATATATAGATTGATATTCTTTATTATTTTCTTATCGATTTTTTAGAATTCTGTCGACTTTTTCTATCTTGTTTTATTATCTACGATTTAAGATAAAACAAATAGATAGAAATATATATATATATATATAACACTTGTACACAAAAGTCTCGGTAAATGAATTTAATATATTTGCTAAGTCCAATAAACTCTCTATTTTTCAATAATAATGTTTGACATTTTTGTTGGCTTTTAATATTTATGATAGACGATCCAGAAGAAAACTCGAAGATAGAATATATCGAATTTTTTCTCTTGTTCGCTCTCTAGAGATTTAAATGTATCGCATCAAAAATGATAGTTTGGCATACAATATTTTTCTCCGGATCTTTCATAGATCATTGTCTAAAGAAAAAAAAGAATCATGTTCTTGAATTGTTTTGACCTAATTTATTTCACGCCAATGAAAAAAAAAATGAATCGATCAATCAATGTACGTCATGAAATTGTCATCATTGATTATTTTAATATTGATCGTATTGCCTCACTTCGGTTTTTAAGTGCAACATATAAAATACAAAAAAATTCATCAAAACGACTTTTTTTTCTTCCTAGTGGCTAAACATAAAAGAACTAAGTTAATCTTCACTCCTTATTTGAATGCTAATAAGTAACAAAAAAAAAAGTGACATTGAAAATTTTTATTATCATGCAACCAAGTAACAAAATTCTTTTTATACTAATAGTCTTTATGTATGACGCTATTCATTACATTAAGACAATATTTAAACACGTTACTTTTTTTTTATATCAAATATAGAAATTAATATAGAATACTATTCAAGAGATAAAAAATACGAAAAAACATACCCCAAAAGAAGTTGTCATTTAAAGTCAATATTTTTTTTTTTTTTTATATTACAATAAATTATAAGTCTAGAATAAATAATTAAATATTTTTCAAAATTGATCTCAACTTGAGATGCGTTCCGAATATATATAATAATTCAATCAGTGGTTCCCATGAGAACAATAAAAACGCCTTTGCATCTGATCTAATTAATAACTTATTTAAGTTCTAAATTATAGAGCTACTTTTTTTCAATAATGGAAGAATTAGAAGCGAAGAATATTAACAAGAAAAAAAAATAAGCATTCATTTGTATATATATAAGTCAATTCCAATGGGTCAAATTATATTACATAAAAATTCATCTTTAATAACATACCATTTATTTTCATCAAGAATAATTATATAGTCAAAAAACGAAATAAATAGAAAGTTAATCTGAACAAAAAAAAAGAACTGTTTGTAATTTACAAAGATACATTTTTTTCTAATTTGAGAAATTCATGTATTGATTCAACTAAAATAATTTGAAGACAAAATTTATATATAAACAAAGTCTTCATAAAACTTAACATAAAATGATATTTCAGTTTTACATTAAATATATGAACTTCTTATCTATAAGATAAATCCTTTTTATCTAAATTGACGTTTATAAATGATTCGATATTTGAATATATAGATACCTAAAGAATATCATAAATCTAGAAACAGTACTAATGTCAATAGAAGATAATCCATGTCTTAAAACAGTACAAATCTTAGAACATCCAATACATATATATATATATTAATTCTATCCTTATCAGATTGAGATACGCATTACTCATGTACTTTCTCTTGTGTCGATTCGACACTATTTTGTATGTTCTATATCTAATATTTACAAAAACAAAACATTTTATTAAGATTATTTTTAATATCTAATATAAAGATGTTTTTGAAACTATAAATGAAACTTATTTAGTTGTATTGAAATTTGAATTTTTACACTGTGATAATTTTCGAGAAAAAAAGAAACCTGTTTTCATTTCATTATAACAATTGATAACTTCTACAACAAAAAAAAAAAATTTCATTTCAATATATTGTTTATTTTTAAGTCGAAAAATAAAAGTATTGTTTCTGCTTAGGAATGTGGAAATTCATAGCTCAAAAGAACTGATTAACCTCATTGATTAGTTCTTTTGAACTGTTTCGATGTTATTTCGATAGATCTAGTCATGAATAAATCAATAATTTAATTACTCACTTAGTACTCATTGATTCTTAATAAGTAGTGATAATTATTTATGAATACTTTATGTGCAATTACCTAGAGCAAAAGAAACAACATCATTCAAATCGGAAATTAAGTCAAAAACAATACAAAAGCAGTTCAAAATTGAAGAAGTAATTTCATTTACATCGACATATTTTAAAATACTTTTCTATTTGAAGTGCGATGCTCTCTCTCTCTCTCTCTAAGATCCTCTATGTTTCTCCTTTTATATTTTTTAAAATACTTATAGCATACTAAAAATAGTGGTGGAAGTATTTTAATTCCTTATAAGAAGAACTTTCTTTCTATATAGTCTTACAGTAAAGATATTTCTCTATATTTTTCTGATATTTGATCACTCTTCAAATAATATTATAATAATAAAATTTTGATAAGAGCTATTTGTGATGGTAATATTAGATCACTTTTTTTTTCGATGTCTCCTCTTCTTAATGTTCTTCTTCCCTCGTTGTTTTTTGTCTCTTCTGATGCCTAGATGTCTATACATAGTAGAATATAGATTAAAATGTTGGCGAGAGAATAGAAGAACAAATACAGAAACAAGTTCATCAAGTCTTTGTATTATTAGATGTTCGAAATACTCGTTCTAGTTATTATTCATACCCAACAGCCTTCATTGAATCCATTTGTCACATGTTTCTTTGTACTTTTCTTTATTCAAACAATATATCGACTTGTTTACAACATAATGCAACAGTTTAAAATCATTGTGATCACTTCGATATTGTTTGATTAAATTGAATAAATAAAAATATTCACGTGGTATCAGATTCGAAGACGTATTTAAGTAAATACTTGGCGAACTTATTTCTGTATTTGTTTTTCTACTCTAGCGCCATTACTTTTTCTATATTGTGATATGTATAAACAGTTAGGCATTAGAGACGACGCAAAAAAAAAACGAGAGAAGAAAAACAACTAGAAGAGAAGACACATTGCAGAAAAAAATTTGATCTAATATTACCATCATAAATCATAATAAATAGTTCTCATCGAAATTCTATTATTATAATATTAGTGGAAGAATTATTTTAAACATCAAAGAAATATAGAGCACTGTTTTTACTATTAT